AGAAAGAGACCTTCTAAAAATGTTAAAATGTATTATCGGCACACGAAACCTTAAATCAGAGTGAATAAATGAATACTCAGCACACCACTTCTGAAAGGTTGCCGACCCCTGACCTAGAGGCTTAAATTCAGCACTATAGGATCAAAGCCAACATCTTTATTTTGAGTGCCTCAGTTTTCAGGTATCTAACACAAAGTTTAATTGTTGAGTTTAATTTTCAGAAATGCCAAATCATTTTTTCCTCATAAGGGGGAAGAATGTAATTATTTTTAAAAATCAGTTTAATCTAGAGCCACAAACATGAAAATGCCTTAATCATAATCATATGGTTTTTGCATGGTGTCACTACAGGGCAGAGTTGAGATTGTTTTGGTGCCTTAATTGTTACATTTCCATGCCTTAATGTATTTTGATTTCTTTTAAATTTAACCTTAATTCTTTATTTCCTGCATTTATAATGCTTGTTTTTTTACATCAAAGTAATATTTTAATCAAAATTACTGATATGTGCTCTCAATTGTAACTCCCTCTTACTGTTTATTTGTCTGGGAATATAGAAAAAGATGTCACAAGTATTCACTATGTTGTGCCCATAGAATCAACACAATGAATACATAAAACCTCTACACATTTTGGAATTTTGTGAAAATCAGATTAAAAGTACAACACCAAGGTAAACAGTGTAATATGGAACTGTTTCTAACAAAGGGGATCATTCCTGATCCATAAATGATTAAAGCACTTTGCTTAAATTAGTGCAAGATAAATATAGCATCCCATCTCCTGGAAATATTATGTTCAGAGTATGCTGAGCCTTTTGATTTAGCAGTGTCCTCACTGCAAAGTGGGCAGATTACCAGCCCAAGCAAAGGCAGAACCTGGACTCTAACCCAGACCTCAGGCCAGGCAGCACATGTTGAAAGCACCACCAAATTTAGGTTTATGTGTGGATTGGAAGGGGAAAATTAGGAACATCTGGATAACAGCAGCGAAGAAACTCCCTTACTGTTTTGGCTTGAGCTGTTGCTGGATTACAGAAATGGGCTCAGAAAATGATAAAACATCAGTAAAACATCTGGGGTGAACCATCTGAAAAAAACACAAAGCATTATGCCATTTGCTATTAAAAGGTGAAAAATATTCCACCAGCAAATCTCATCTTTAAAATCTCATTTTTTGGAAGGATTTCCTATTGCTGCAAAAGTAATTACATTGGAGACGGAAAAAAGACTGGGGCTTAATTCTTTGTTCTGGATTCAGGAATAAAAGCAAGGCAAAGATGGCTTTAAGTCACCTTAACATTGTCCCTGTTCTCAAGCCAGTCAGATGTGTGCCTAACTCTTGACATAGGTCAGAGCAGCGCAGGGCTCCTTTAATTTTCATTCAACTGCCTGTGGCTCCAAGCAGCTGCTCCAGTAGCCAAGAATAGCCAGAGCACAGTAACACTCCAGATATGCCCCCTTACCTCCAGGGATACCTTCTACACTGAAAGCTGAGAGGAATGGCTTGGAGCGGCTACTTTGCACTTAGAACAGCCCTTTGCACTCTTGAAGCAGCATAAAGGGACTGCAGTGTATCAATATCTGGCCTCTTCTCTTGCAAAGGATAACATTGTAGAAGGTTGTCCTCAGTGAACAAATTACATCATATACAGTTTAAAAAGAGGAACTGCAAGCAGAGACTCACTGTATATTGTGGACTTTCCATGTGGTGATACCAAAAATCTTCATAATCCAGATGGCAGAATTGTATGAAAGCCACACTAGAAGAATTACAGCGAACAGAAGCTATTTTTGGCAGCCAGGTTTGGACATTTTCAAAACACCCTGTATGGACTTCTAGAAGAAACTGTTGTGTGAGAAAAGTGAAGAGGGGATTCCTCAGTCTGATACCCCTTTTCTCCCCAGCCTGGACTGTGTTTAGCTTCTTGCTCCAACAGACCAATCTGCCTCTACGGATATCAAATTGTATGTACAGTGCAAGATGTGCCAACAGGCCTGTTCCTGCATCCTGTCATCCCTGGAAATGGGTCCAGAGAATTCACAGCAGCTTTGCAGAGAAGAACAAGCAGATGTTCCTTGTAACAGTTACGCATGCTCAAGATGGCCAAAGGTAATAGCTTCGAATACTATGTCTGCTAGCAATACTGGTGAGGTTGTTGAGACATGGTGTCTACACAGGAGCTTCTGTAAGTCATATCAGAAATATGCAGTTCACCTCTGAAGAATTTTAAATAAGAAAGTGGTATAAAACATGGGCAAGGATGGATTAAGGATAAAGTTCCAATGGCTGCCAATGGTAAAGCCCAGTATAGAGCATGTGTGGGGAAGCTGAAGTAGCATGCAGGAGCTGAGTGGGCAGAGGGAATAGTTGTGGCAGCCGTAGAGGCAGACTGGTCTGTTGGAGCAAGAAGCTAAACACAGTCCAGGCTGGGGAGAAAAGGGGTATCAGACTGAGGAATCCCCTCTTCACTTTTCTCACACAACAGTTTCTTCTAGAAGTCTATACAGGTACTGACTCTTATTTCAGAAATAAACTACAAATCTTCCTGCATAAGCCTGTGGGACATGAGACACACTTATTGCTTCACTCATCAAGATCAGCTCCACAAAGGGAAGAAAATCAAAGAAATCTAATGTACTATACTCACTGGTTTATGGTGTTGAGTCTGGCAGAGATTTTTTTCCCACCCAAAGTTATTCCCTGGTGGTTTCCTTTCTTTCCATTATGTCAGGATGAAAACATATCCACTGGTTTCATTAACCCATTGTCTTAATCAATGTACAGGGCAGCAGGTCCATAGATTAGATAATTTATTTGAGGAAGATTTATGATTAGCTTTTTCAGATGTTCAGCAAAGGATCCCAGTTCCCCACATCTCATTTCTTCAGACAGATCTGAAGCTTAACATCTATAGTTAGCTGTTCTTTTATTAAAAATAAATAAATAAATAAATAAAAATAAATACATATCTCAAACACCTGACTGTGCCCATGGCTGTTTGGGAGGATCACACATCATTTGATAGCAGTAAGAAAAGTTTTCTGCTCAAATGTTTTCCTCATAATTGATTCTCCTAAATGAACTTTCATACCAGTTGGAATTCTCAGTTATTCATATATCTGAGCCAAAATGGCTATCACCTTCTTGATGTCAGAACTTACCGTTTCTCTCTTATTTTTTAAATCCCTTAACAAATGAGACAAAACTAAAATAATTAAAAAAAAAAACCAACCACACCACACCACATGACATGTGGGATGCATCCTGTAAGAGAAAGGGGCCTGGTCTGCCTGACGAAATTGCTTTTTGTCACCATAGGTTCGCATGTGTCCAAACCCAAATAGGATTCCCCTTGGTGAAACCCACACTCTCCGGGTCTCTGGACAAGACAATTCCTCTGCCAACATACTTCTGCCAGCAAAATGCCACAGTGGATGCTGCCTTACCTGTGCTTGTAAAAACAGTCCTCCAGCCACAGTCCTGCAATGCCCCTGTCCCTGCAACAATAACTGCTCCAATCCTAATTTTGAACTCCATTGCACTGTGGTCAGTCACTGGAAGTGCCTCCACACCCAGCTTAAAAATCCTCAGGGTGTTTTGAAAATGTCTCTTTTCCTGCCAATTCACATTTGTGAGTAGATATGCCTGGCCAAGCACAAAAGCAGAGGTCCAGCTAAACCAAGTATTCCTGCCTGAACCAGAAAAGAAGTCCTTGATCTCTTCTTCTATACTCAACCACCAACCCCAATGGGATAGTAGACACCTTGTAAGAACAAGAGAAGGGACCATCAGCACTGCCCAACAAGGACAAGCTCATAAAGGATGGGTACACAGAGGGGCATACAGACCCTGCAGAGTGTCAGGAGCTTTTTCATATGCAAGTGGCCCCACCAAGACCCAGAGGAGCCCAGAGAGGAAGGGGAAGGAAGCACAGGTAGGTGCATTGCTGTATGATTTTTTTAAACGTGTTTTTTCTTTGCAATGTCTGAACCACCCTCCTCCTCAATTCCTTACGTCATTCAAAATGGCACCCTTCTGCATGGTCAGAAAACAAAGGAACTGACTTTTAAAATAATCAGTTGATTTTAAAACCCATGAACTGGTGACAAAATAAGAGAATATTAGAATCATTTAGTAGCCAGCATGTTTTGGCATTGAGATAGAATTTCAGCTTTTATAAAACACAAACATTAATAATCAAATTCGTTACAAACAAACAGAAAGATACAGACACCAATATATCAGCTGAAAAATAAAAGACATAGGAAATTAAACGTATCCTTCGCAAGCAATCCAGTGTTTGTTCATTGTGTATCTGCATTCAATAAAATTACAGTTTTGGGGGGTAGTGGGGGGTGGAAAAATACAGACACAGTATATTTATTGGGTGTCACCAGACAGAATTGTCAGACTAAAGCACCATCACTTCCCACCAAATTCATAAAAGGTGTTTATAAATAACCTGAGAGCCATAGTCAGGCCAAAGTTAGACGTACACAAAAGCAGCGCACAGCAATACAAGGGCACAATGTTAAAATTATCTTTTAAGGCCTTCCTCAGCTGGACAGCTCCTTGATAGGCTGTTGTCGTTGCCCTTGTGTCTGGCTGTTAAAAATTCAGCAGACAGCTTTCCAATTCCCCCTCTCCACCCTGCCGGTAAGGTTTCTCCCTTTGCTTCACAAATATTATTTAATACGTGACATACAGCAACAACAACAGGCATTGTCTCTCTCTCTCTGGTGTTTGGCTGATTCTTGCTCATATGTTCAGGGTTTAACTGATTGCCATATGTGAGGGTGGAAAGGAATCCCCCCCCCCCGCCCCCCGGTCAGATTGGAAGTGACCTTGGGGGCTTTTATTTATTTGCCTTCCTCTGCAGCTTGTGGATCATTTGCCACGAGTAACTAGGTCTCTCTCATGGAATCATTTCCCTGCCACTGCAGTGGCCTCACGCACTAGTGCACCTTGGTCCCTCCTATTCTCTGCCCTTGGCACATAATGGTCTAGTTTCTGATGGGCTGTAATACTTCGGGCTAATTTCGGTTGCTGGGTTTGGAGTTGGGAGTGGCTGGGGGGTGGCCTGTGACATACAGGAGGTCAGACCAGATGATCTGGTGCTCCTTTCTGACTTTAAATTCTCTAACCACAGCATTGCAGAGACCCCAGGAGAGGGCAACAGTTACAATTCTAATGAGACCTCCCTGCTTTGGCTACCAAGGTTAGTCACAGTTTCATACTCATGTGCATGCTATAACCATTGCAGTTAAATACAAACACATTGTAATAACTTTGCTTCCTTGTAACCCAGCATTGTAAATGTACAGTATATGCTCTTTTTAAAGGGGAATTTAACTATATGGAAAAGCCATAGCAGTACTATCAAGCTGTTCTTAAACTAGAGGAACATTAGACACTAATAAAGGCTTCTAAAAGGAGCTGGCTGCAATCTTAATTATGGGACCACGGCTGCTCTGGATCCCGACTCCCCAGCCTCCTTGATACGATACGAACGATGCAGCCAGTTTTGCTTTTCCACCTCTGTTGTGAGATAGAATTAATCTACCCACCATTTTGAATGAAATGAGCCTTAATTGTTAGAATGGATTCCGAAGGTGTCCTTTTCCATAAACGATTACCTATTTAAGTGCCTTTGATATGCTTTGCTGGGTATAAGGCACCGAAAGACACCAGGCCTGCCCCCAAGAACTTACTATTTCAATAGACAGAAAACAAGATGCACCGGAAGACTGTGGAAGTTAGTCACAGAGCAGTTTACAACACCTGTATTTCAATGAAGGGCTGAGGTTACTATTTTTTAAACCTTGGGAAAGAACTGAGTTTTAAGGAGGGAATTTGAATTAAGAGAAGCTGGGTGCTTGCTGTTGAGGCATTGGGAAGTCTTTCCCTGTGTAGAGAATAGTACTGAAGAAGGCAGGAGAAAGAGAGTTCTATTTCAGCTCTCAACGTTTTGAGCAGCAAATAAATGAGTAGTTTCTGTTGTCATTAGAGTTTTCTCAGAGTCTGTATAAAGAAGTATGGTTGGCACATTTTTCTCTCTAGTGATAGCTTTTAGCAGGGGAAATCAAACACGGAGATTCATGCGTTAAGCAGTCACTCTAGAACCACTCCACAGCTGCTAGGCAACAAATCTCCTGGTTTTCCTTTACAGACTTCCCCACTTTGTTAAGGTTACAGATATTTAAATATAAAGTTTAGGGGGGCGGGATAGCTCAGTGGTTTGAGCATTGGCCTGCTAAACCCAGGGTTGTGAGTTCAATCCTTGAGGGGGCCATTTAGGGATCTGAGGCAAAAATCTGTCTGGGGATTGGTCCTGCTTTGAGCAGGGGGTTGGACTAGATGACCTCCTGAGGTCCCTTCCAACCCTGATATTCTATGATTCTATGATATAATTCACACTTGATACTTTCACACACACACTCCATTATTCTGAGAGTGGTTCTCCGTCTTTATTGTGTGACTATAATATGTAGGTGGGTATCACCTGCAAGCTTCAGAGCTTGAGAATGGCAGACTCAGTTCTTTTCCAACCACTTCAGAATTCTGTCAGCAAATAGGCTGGAGTCTGCACAGCAAGCAGCATTCTAGACCTTAGGTTAATAGTTGACCAGTCCTTAGCTGCTGGGGAAACAGAAACCAGTAGCCCATATCCAAATAGGTACAGGGATCAGATCCATTTACTGGTTCTGGTAAATCAGTTACTCTCGGGTCTCCAGGCAGTGCTTAATTTGTAATTAAAAGAGGTGCCAGGGCTCAAGAAATGTTTTTACTTTCATAACGGATGCGGCAAGCCCAGAGGTGCCAGGACTAGGAACGGCCCAGCCTAGAGGTGTTGAGGCTCAGCCCTGGCACAACGCAAGCATTGTCTACAGGTCTGACCAACTCCTGTATGTCTAGCCTCACACTCTATTTGGCTAAGCTATCAGAGGGTAAATGGGTGTGATCTGCACTACTGCAGATGCCCAACCACTTTTCTTTACAGGAAGTAGCTTTTTATTTCCAAAAAGATAAATTCTTTGCAAGGTATTCTTCACAGGCACTGCGGCGTGGTTTGCAATCAAACACTTTTTACATTTTTAGCATTTCGAGAGCAATTAAAAAAGAAAAATGTTAAAATAAACTAACCCTCACCCCAATCCTCTGACTATTTCCAGTCATTGCAAAATGGAACACAAAGGATTCTTATAAGCCAGCTGCTGTGGTGTCCCAGATTGTGTAGTGCACATATGTGCAATTCAGTCGGAGGCACTCCAAAACAGCGGCAGCAGGACTCAGCATCACAGCCATAGCATAGCACCGAAGGACACCTTTTAGAGTATCTCAAAAGAGCATTTCTATTCTGAAAAGCTACTGTATTGAATAAATAGTAGCACCTTCTTACTCAGCTCTGTCTGCTATATATATATTCAGAGTTATTTGTGCTGACTTCAGCGTACTATTTTTATTCCTGTTAGCTGTGTTGGCTCTGCAAGGCTAAGAATGAAGGAGTCTGGCTGTCAGAAGGAACTGTTAAGCGAAAGCTGAGATTCTTGAGCACAGTTTTGCACCAGAGGCTGAATTCTACAACAGTGAAATCTTGGAGTACACCATGTCTTGACTTGTGACTAAATTAAGTTTTAATTGCATTTTACTCCTGCTAGCCCTGTAGAGCCAACACAGGTAGGAGGGAGGGAGTTGAAGATTTTATTCCCTCTTGTGCATCCTCAATAGTAGTGTTTACAAAGTTCCAATTACAGGACTAATAAATCACATCTATCCAAAACCACCGATGGCAATGGGGATGCACAGGTGCCATTGAAGATCTTATTTACCCTGTAGAATATTTATTACAAGTGATGTGTGAGGCAGAAAGAGCCCCGCTCAATTCTTTATTCACAGGCGGAGTTTGCAAGGCTGGCAGTTGAAACACAAGCAAACATATTTTAACCTGTAAACCAAGCACATTTGACCTGGAATCTTTCAGACACTAAGCATGGAACTCCACAATGCCAATTTTACTGTCATTTTCAAGTAGAACCAGAGTTAAGCACCGAACACTGTAATATTATGCAGGGAACAATCTAGACCGAACAGCTGTGTCCTCTCAGTTCTTCAACCTGGGCTGCCTTTCACACCGCTTCTCTGTGAGAAGCACCACTCCTGGTCATAGAATCATAGATTATTCGGGTTGGAAGGGACCTCAGGAGGTCATCTAGTCCAACCCCCTGCTCAAAGCAGGACCAATCCCCAACTAAATCCCCAAATGGCCCCCTCAAAGATTGAACTCACAACCCTAGGTTTAGCAGGCCAATGCTCAAACCACTGAGCTATCCCTCCCTCTGTTCACATCAGCTGCTAGCATGCAAAAATCATTCCCATCTGAATTAAATCAACCACTCCTGAATTATATTACAGAGAAACACCTGCAAATTCCCAGTCCCAGACTTGTTCCAGGAATGTGCATCTTGTACTTCCCAACTCTTTCCTTCTGGACAATATAAGCTCATAGAAAGTCTGTCATTTCATTAATAAAAGGTGATATGCACAAACCCAGTTATTTCAAATGTAGTTTGCCAAAAACTTCAATCCAAACACACCAGCTTAGATAATAAACTTGTTTTAACTACTTAAAAATCCATCTTTCTGTGATTACAAGTAATGAGGCATAAAAGTCAGAATTGGTTACAAAGAAATAAAAGGTAAAATACAGACTAATACCTAATTTAACAAGCTAAGTGAATTTAAAGCAAAAGGTTTCTCTCACCACATGCTTACAGTTGTCTGGCTGGGTTCCTTCAACCAGGGCCACAGTTCAATAATGCTTTGTCTTTCAAACTTTGTTGAGGAGAGAGGTGATTTGAGGCCTCTGTTACTCATTTTTATATCTTTTCCTCCTCTTTGAGAAATCATCTCCAGCTTGGGTTCAGGCAACAGCCAGTCTGTTTACATGAAAACCCCCAGCTGTTATATTGCCAAGATCTAAATTTCTCTCTCAGACCCTTCTTCCTGCCAAAGAATGGCTACTTATCACCAGGTGATAGTCCATCTGATTTTGTTGATGCCTGCTTTTCTAAACTGGGAGCATATCTCAGCAATGTCATACAGTAGAATCTTATAACTTTACATACAATGATCAGCAAATTATGAGTTTTCAAATGAGGCATACTTTTTACAAGAGTTTATCATAGTTTTGTAAAAGTGGTGAATATAAGGATACAGACTGTCAAATGCATTTCTTGAATGGGCTCCATAAAAGCCACAGTAGCTGCTGGACTGCATAGTTGGCCACTATGCAGCACTGGGGAAACTTTCAAAAGTACCCTTAATTAGGGACTGACCCTGCTCCCATTGAAGTCAGTAGAACTCCCATACACCATAGTGGTGCAGGATTGGACCCCTGATGAGCATATGTGAACACTTCTGTAAAATGCATTACATAGCAGTAGAAATGCCTACAGGTTTGCACCCCCAACACAACATGGTGGTGCATCATTGAGGATGCAAGATGCACCTCAGAATCCTTGTGCACAGTTGTGCAGTCCAGACCATATTTGCATTTCCTGCACTGGACAGAGACTGTTCTCCTTATGTATTCCTTGGGAATGAAGATGAGGTAGGGGAGTCCCCCACAAACCCTAGCCATGCACCAGCAAGTGGAGCTGGCTGGTCATGCACGGAAGAATAACCTGCACCCCTTGAGACACGTACTGGCCAGCCCTGGGAGAAGTTCTGCTTTTCTGAGTTACCTCAGGGATGGTGCAACTCCAGCTCTACCCCCAAGCAGGACTGTAACTTAAAGGTACATCTGAGCCCTGAATAAGCACATATAAAGCAGAAGCAAGTTTTAGCACCCCACCTAAAAAATTTAGATCTAAAGCAGGCAGTGGTTATATCTTGGACAAACTAATACAGGGCATTGACCAAGAACTGGGGAATTTTGACTAGGCAAGTCCACTCAGCCTACAGTATGTTAGTGTCCTATTCTAAATCCATAATGCCTGACTCCCTAGAGCAAAGATTACACTTTCAAGTTAATTGGTTATGTTTTCAAAGTTTAGTACTACAAATCAATCAGGAAATTCATTTCAGTAGAGTGCTCCTCTCTTTCTCTCTCTCTCACTCAAGTCAATTTCAAATGCTCCGCTCTACAAGTTTCTCTTCTTTTCAATTACTGTATCCCATGGTAGTAAATAAATTTATTTCAAGTGCACACATCTCATT